GCTGTTCTGCCACCGAAAACTTTGTGACAGGAAGAGATGGCTGCAGCATACGTTATTCGTGCTGGCCAAATTTCTGTCCCTCAGCTGCTGCCAAAAAAGGACAGCATGCCACCTAGTGGACATGATGTAGCCTCTACACCTTTCTCTGTACACCTTTTACAAAACGCTTCATCAGCGGGTGATTAAAAGCTGTTCCTTCGTGACATGAAGAGATGACTGCAGCATACGTTATAATCGTGCTTAACGCCAAATTTCCGTCCATCAGCTGCTGCAGAAAGGACAGCACGTCGCCTAGTGGACATGGGGTGGCCTCTACATCTTGCGGGAGACCCATCCTCTCTAAGTGGGTCCGCTCAGCGGCCAGACCCACCGGTGCTGACCTATTTCTGGGTAACTCCTGATTGTTCCTCCCGCCTGGAGGAGCATCCTCTCTCCACAACAGTTTCCACGGGCGCCCCGATAACATGCGTCGTAGAACCGGAACCCTGGTGCGTTCACGCGCTCGGGAGCCACCAGGAGAGCTGTCAATCCCTCCTCATGAACGCGGTTCAAAAAAACGTAATATCAGAGGCGGTGGGGGAACATGTAAAATCGTTTTGGGCCAAGGGTTATAAGCGAACACGTCCACCCCTAGTGGTGGTTCGTCTCGTGGACTCGGTGAAGCCCATGGCTGACAATGAGCATTCCCTCGTGTCGCAAACAGGTCCACGGCCGCTTGCCAAATTCCTGCCACGTCTGGGCCATCAGACTGAGGTGGAGGGTCCACTCCCCGTGACGCGGACTGCCCCTGGACATCACATCTGTCTTTTGTACAGAACACCGGGGATGTACATTGCTCTGGTGGAGAGCAGATTTTGGTGTGTCCAACACATTATTTTCCTCGCAATGTGTAACATTTGGGCTGCGTTGATTCTGCAGCACAGGAACAAAGTGTTAAATCACATTCAGAACCGTGCAACCCTCCAGAACATTTATATGAGCTGTTGTGAGAAAGCCACAGCGCCCCTACAGCTCAAGATAGGCATGTCACCCCTCAACCTGACACCGGTGCTGACGGGGGCTCCCTCTGACAAAAACCAGGGGTTTTCCAGTGTCGGTGGTCTGCTCTCACGGAGGGAGGAACAGTGATTGCCCGCCTCTTCCTAGCCCCACTCCCAGATAACCGGTCTTGGCCGGGAGGATCGAACTTTTCATATTTTATGGCGAAGCCCAGAATTGGCAGGTGTGATGTCAACATCTGAGCCGACATGTGAAGCGGTCTGCCTACGATCGCCTTGTTGAAAAACTGACAGGTCCACATCGGTCTCGTTCCTCCGGTCCGTTTGGAACCAGGAAGTAACGTGAATAACAAACTGTGTTTCCCTCTCCGTCGGGAAACCCCTGGACTTCTGCCTTTAGGGGTGAGACCTGGTCTGGATGACAGGACCGTCTCTTAAAACTCCTCCGAGCAGAGGGGGTCAGGCTGCAAGTTGCAACACGTAACCCCTGCTATCAGCTTTGGCCATCTACGCCTGGCGAGAAAGCTCGCAGCCACTCTGCGTAATGTCCGTGGGGTGGGCGCGCGTTTAGGTGGTGCGTTATGTTTTAACGGATGTCAGTCAATCCACCGCCTCAACCGCTATCATGAGCCATGGGAGTGTGTTCTGCGTGACCCACAGGCGAAGCTCAGCTCTGAGCGCAACTGTGTGCTGCGCTTGACTGCGGGCCCACATCATGTCTATGTGGAACGCTGTGCGTTGAGGAGAGGCGTGTGAAAACTGTTGACGCCGCGCGAGTGAGGGTTTGACACCACCACGGTAAGACGCGTGCCGCTCCTGCCAAGAGCGAGATATGTTACTGGGCTCGTACAGCGATCTCACGTTTATGTTGACGTGAGCGGTGAGCGCTGAAAACTGCGTGCGCGCCTTCATAACGCAGCGCCAAATGGGTGAATGATGCTTGGCACCGCTTCGTGAGGGGTGTGCAGCTTAGACTGAAAAATCGAGTTATTCTACTGAAACTCGTTGTGCGGGCCACATTCACTTATGACTGTTGTGTCATGCAGGTGTCTCGCCTTGTTTGAGCGACCCTAACCCTAACCCCTATCATCCGAAACTGGCGGGGGAGGCGCGGGACGTAAAAAAGGTCCCTTCATGTCAGCCGCCTCCTGGATTAAGCCGGGCAAACTCCAGAGGGCGCCAGCGGCTGGGAGCGGTGTGGTCGCCGATGCGAAACAAGGTGGGTTGGAGGGGGACATTCGCTGAGCCCCCCTCTACCGACACTACGCTCTCCAAGAAAGAATGAGCAGCGGGGGATGCTGCTGACGTCGCCTGTCTCGGAGGAACCATCCGATTCGCTCCGAGGGTCGGAGAGAAGGGGAAAATTACAAGATGGCGTCATCCCGCGTGTAGCGACGTTTTACTGAGAAATACTCCTCGGCGCTTACCTTGAAACAAGACTGTACGTCTGCTTCTCCTCGGGGAGGAGAACTCACCGGGACGACAGAGAGTTGGCGTAACGGGCCAGGCAGTCTCAACAAAGGTTGGTCATCTACACAACTTTCCTTCTTCATTCTTCTAACAGTGCTATTAGCTCGCTGAAGAAAAATGGGAGCCGATTACCCGCTCTTAACGTAATTTAGATGGACCGGGTGGGGCCCACACAGCAGGGGCATCGATGCGTGTCTGAACCAATGAGAGCCTTTGTTTTGTTGTGCTGCTGCTGTGCAGTGCACACATGAACCCTATCAGAAAGTGAGCAGACAGGACACAAACATGGAGAAAGGTACCGTACCTTTACAAGGGCGTTATTTTAAAACTTTTCAGAGGCTTCTACAGACGAAGCTGGCTGGATGCAGCATGTGGGAGAACATGTTCTATAAAGACTAAAATCGCTCCTGCAGTCAATTCTCTGTTTTCTTATTATGATTTTATTGTTTGAGCACTTTTCCTTTCTCCAAGAGGAACATTTGTTACTGAATATAAACTGTTCACGATGCTCCCTGATTTAAAAATGTTTCTTCTAACTTTTCAGAAAAAACGTATAATTTTGAATTTGTTGTTAATCCGTTGATTGTGATTGTTTTGGGTTTGAAGAAATCCATTTTTCTCTAAAATAAATGCCCAAATGCCCAAGACACATGGGTGCATAAATATTAAATATTGAAACCAGTATTTATGAGCCTCTGCAACCAAATAATTAATGTGCCATAGTTAAAATGCTAAAGCATTTATTCTGCAAATTTTACTATAAAAACTGTAAGAACACGTGCCAATTTCTTTCACTTATTTGTGATTCTTCAATAGTGCTTCCATTGACATTACATGTACGATATTCAACCTTTAGTTAAAGAAATGCCTTTTCTCTCATCATACTTACAAAAACATCTAATTGATACGCATTCGGCTGGACATACTTCATGGACGCTTCTCTAGTGCCAAGCTTTAGGGAACCCTGGAGAAAAAACAAACAAACACCATATACCAGTTAGCACTGTTCTACATTAGTGATACTGCTAAACTAACACCAGTCACAACCAATATGCACTAAGGCAGGTTTAGCCACACCTCTAAATTACTCAGGATAAAATAGCCCAGCACTTGTGGTAAAAGTCCAGATCTGTGGTCTTAGCACATTGGCTATTTTTGTCCATCCTAGAATTGTTTCGAGGAAGCTACATCTTTGATCTAAGGACTATTTTTTTAATATTTACCTGCAATGCGAAGAACCAGCCAATCAAATAATTTTGTATGTTAGATAACCGAGGAAATAACTCAGCAGGTAAGGGTAAAATGTGACATTGTGAAACTAATTTTTATGAACCCACTAACAAAAGCAAAAAAAGCCTAACTATAAAACTAAACCAAAATAGTAATTAAGGAACATTACAATAATTAAAGAAAGTTTATTTTGGATGCTCCCTTCTGCAGGAGTTGACACTGAAAGATTTGGCAATTGTTTTATGCTAGATGCTTTCATGACGCAGCTTGGGCTCGAACCGGCAGCCCCAGGATTACAAGACCGCCAAACTTCACCACTGATCTACCAGTGATAATGCATTTAATTTTGTGCCATCAGTTAATAAGCTCTATTGGTCTAACTACAGTTTTAGTTGCTTTTTATTTATTTATTTTCGTTCAGCTGCTACCTTCTTCAGCGGTCAACACTGAAAGTGAATATTGCACGAAATATTTGGCAACTGTTTTATGCCAGATGTCCTCCCCACCTCAACCTGGGCTTAAACCTGCGGCCTTAGAATTAGAAGATGGCAGCCATGACCACCGAGCTAATGCAGCTCTCAACTGCAGTATTAATAACGGAGGAGTGGTGGCGCAGACATTAAAGTCAAGTCTGTGATTGGAAGGTTGCTGGTTGGCCCCAACCGACAAAATCAAAATGTGGGTGGTGGAAGGTGAAACACCCACACCTGCTTCCACCCTCATTTACCCCACTCTGGGCAACTACAGTATTAATAAAACATCTAAATTATAATTATTTAAAACAAACAAGTTATCAACTAATGCCTGATATTTGCACTCTCTGCGTATTATGTACAAGCAGTTCCCTTATTAGTCCACTTCTGCAAAAAAACCACACGTGCGTAAAAGGAATATAGTTCAAAAGGTGTTTTGCTAGTTGCATCTTTTACATTCAAAGTTGCCACAGTTTTGCATGTCGAATGGTTATACTTAGGTATGCTCCTATCAATTTTTTTTGTGCCGATAACCGATACAATCACATGGATTGGCTGTAAATGTTTTGATTTACCGGTAGCCGAGTGCTACTTGCTACGTGATCTGGAAAACAGGAACCATAAAATCACCATAATTTGGACAAAAACATGTTTTTATTTACTTTCCCAAAAAAACAAAAAATATATATTAAATAAAAATTTGCAGGCAAAATACAGCAACTATTCAGTCAAAAAGACAACTACATTAAAATGTACCTGCTATAAGTAACAGAATATTTAAACAGATTCAATTCAATTCAGCTCATTTATATAGTACCAAGTCACAACAGAAGTCATCTCATTGAAAACAATGTTCTCAACAGGAGAAATACTGCAGAAAGTCAAATACATCTCAAAACATTGCTTAAATCAAATAATGTCAGGTAAAAAAAAGGATACATTCAAAGCCAAATGCATGTTGAATTCATATAAACTATCCTAACCCAAGTTAATAAATCAAAAATACTTGACAGCATGGATTACTCTTTTGTGCATGAGCAAACTTGTGCATTGTCAAAGAAATGCCTCTGACTTGTTGACAAGAAAATTATAGGATCAATATTTTTAATAAAGAGGAGCATCTCAGTTTTTTCAGTCATGAGTCCTGTGTTTGTCCACCATGTTGGATGCAGCGCTTAACAAGCACCTGTGCAGGGTGCAGACAGGTAAGTTCTTGCTACTCTAGCAAGGTCTGGAAAGTGTTCCTTATTGGTTTTCCAGTATTCCAGTGGTGATGCACTCAGAGGTGGATGGCTCTGAGAAGTAGATAATCATCTCCGAAGGTGTTGCACTGTCGGCACGAGCCTGCTGCGTGGTTTCTTCTGCCAGGATCTCACTAAACATTGAAGACGAGGATCCTGATCGTGACACGTTCTCTGCTGGCTCCCCTGTGTTGTCAAATTCCAATTCTAAGTTTGGGTCTCTCTGAGCGCCTTCTGTCATCAGACGAAGAAGCAGTCTGTGTGTTTCGGTCTTGAAACCTTCAGAAAAAAATCTGTCTTTGTACCTTGAATTGGGGGGGGTAGAGAATCACAGTAATTTAACATGAAAATCATTATTTCAGGCCATTTGAGAATAAAATCATTAAATATGTACCTAGACATTATTAAATTTTGTTATTATTTGAAGATAATTTTCTCACCTTGGGACTATGACTGTTGCCAAACTGTAGAGGGGCTCCTTTTCAATGTCAGCAAATTGTTTGGTGACAGCTTCCAGCAATGTGGCCTTAGTTGTCTTCACGCCATGATCTGCTGCAACATCTTTGGCAAGGAGACACTTTAAAACCATCACAGAGGTGTGGGCTGCATTAACTGCCGTCTGACTGTTGCTGCTGTGGGTGTCTTCTCTGCAGTCCTCTGCAGTGAGCCTCGGAAACTCACTGTACTCTGCCATGCGTTTGTTCTTTAAATGTCATATTAAGGGAAGGGGGAAGTCTGAAACCGTCATCATCGTATGTTCCCACACTATGGTGAAATTAGTTCTCTGCATTTAACCCATCACACCTGAGATGCACCCAGGTGGAGCAGTGGGCAACTATGCAAGCGCCTGGGGAGCAGTTAGGGATTTTTTTCATTCAACCTTTATTTATACAGGCTAGTCTCATTGAGCCACTCAATTACAAGAGGGACCTGTTCCAGACCGAAAATATAAAGTACAGACAACAATAACAATAATAATAACCATTAGGCGTCTTGCTCAGAGACACGCCACACGAGAATGGCTGGGAGTCAAATCGTGACTTTCCGGTACCAAGTTGGCTGCCCTGCCTCTACCCCATCTTGGCAAGTTTGTTGTATTGAAGGATTTTAACGTGCTTCCCCCGCAAGATATTTTGTTGTTGTATGTGTTGCATGATGCAAACTTTACATTACTCTCACAGTGTAAAAGTTCCACATGGCAGACGTTTGTTTATGATTTGCCACCGCGTGCCTGCGCAATGTGAAGGGGGACATTAAACGGCACACTGGACCTCTGCAGGCTGCAAAGGTGATCAGCTTTTGTGATCGGCACTGAAAGGCATTGGTCGTATACACTGATCACACACTTTTTTATGGAAATCGGCCAAACATGAGCGTTGGCCAATCGATCGGAACATCTCATAATTTTACTGATACTAAATTTATCTAAATCTCTGTTGCACAAAATACAACTACTGGTGCCCATTACAGATCACAGAGAAAATTACTTTACAATTCAATTCAGTTTATTTATAAAAGCGCCAAGTCACAACATAAGTTATCTCAGGGCACTGAACAAAAGCATTCACATACATTATAAATGCCAATTAGTAAAGTTATCTATCTAAAGGAACGAAGCCAGCAGATTGCGTTGGGTCTTCATTTCATCGCAGTCTCATATCCTGAGCTAGCACAAAGGCAACAGAGGACAGGAAAAACTCCCTCATAAAAGGAAGAAGCCTCCAGCAGAACCAGGCTCAGGACAAGCAGCCATCTGCTTCAACAAACACCAAATATTTTAAATGATTGAAATCACAAACCAGAGCCAAACAACAGTTGTCATAATGACCTATCGCAAGCAAAAGAACAGCATGTCAAAATGACCAATAAGGACAATAAAGAACAAAATCACCAACAAAGGCTGCACACTTTAGCAGTAATCAAGCAGACTCCAAATATAAAAGGCTTGTGTGCTTTCTACAGTGGTGGGCACAGCTTACCACAAAGTTAGCTTTGCAAATCGCTAATTCACCAAGTAAAATACCTTTTAAAAATTATTTAATTAAAAATAGCGGAAGCTAAAGCGTTAACTTTTATCAAACACCAGTGTTTCCCCTACCATTATACAAATGGGGCACCTTGCACCGTCAACAGAGCCAAGCACCCAGTCTACCCCCCCCAAATGTCAGTTCAAACCGCGCGCGGCTCAGATGTGTGTCGCAGTCACTCCACCAGCTCTAAAATTGTCAGTATAAGCAGCGAGCTGTGCAGCTCAGGACGTGTCTGTCTCTCCTCCACCCACTCCCTCGGTCAACAAAAATCATGACGAGATGAGCGCCGCGCCATGGCAAGTTAGTTATCTAGGGGAAACACTACAACACTGTACCAGTGTACACTACTGTCGCTGACACTGTAAGACTGATTGTAATGTGACAATGTTATAAGTGAACACAACTCAAAACGGTTCATAAATAACAAGTGTCCATGTCCCATTCAGAGGTGAGCTTTCAGAAATTAATCTGGTCCATGAGAACCATAGATATGGTGCAAAAACTCTGCTGTGCTGAAGCAGAGTGATGCATTCAATGCATGTCAGACATCTCCCATAATGAATTAACAATCCTCTTTGAGGCTTACTTTTATTACCCAACTACAAAAGTTGCTGTGCATCATCATCAATATTCTCTGTGACAAATCTCTTTGTATTAAAGATGTGTGAAATCACATGTGAGAGTCACGTCCCAGAAACAGCGCAAGTGTTGTGAATCATGCTGGGAAGGAATTATGAGTGCAAAGTTCATGACTGTTAATGTTTCTGAGTTTGAAAATGGTTTTTTCATGTTATTTTCCTGTTCTGGTTCGGCATTTATGTTAAAGTCTGTTATTGACCGTAAACTTGTGGTAGACGTGTGTTTGTGTGTGTGTGTGTGGGGGGGGGGGGGGGGGGGGGGCACTGCGAGGGTGGTGACATCACCAGGAGGTGCATAGCACAGCATAGCTCTGTGTAAAGTCCCCAGTACACTCCCGTGTACGTACATCTGCAGAGTATGTCCACACAAAGCTCAATTTTTATGACCGCGTACGTGGTGTCGCACAATAAACTGCCTGGCGATGGACGGTTTTGTATGAGACACCAATGTATTAAATTCCCCTTCTTCACCCGATCTGGCCTTTTATTTTATTTTTTGCCAAGAGGCAAGTTATCTCTTCCTCCTCCGTTGATGCCATGACTGAAATGGTGAGAAATTAAGGAATTTGTCACGAGTGAATTAAAATCAGGTCCAGTGTGGCTGCGAGAGGGTCTGGAGATTTCCTGGTGGGCTGCAAGGCCATCGCTCCCTTTAGCACTTTTTATTAACAACGTACAAATCCAGAACACCGCTGCGTCTGGGGATGCCAGCTCTCGTTTTTCTTTTTCGACCTGTCAATCAATCCAGTAGGCGTCAGCAAATGACCAAGATGACCAATCGGCAAACTCAATTTATCTCTAAGGTAAACGACCCTTGTCTGCGGAGCTGCTCTGCAGCTGCTCAGGGTGGATGCTCGAGTATGAAGTCTCAACCCTATGCGCACAGTTTCCACGTGGCTGACAGGATGCGGGAGTATACTGGAGCCTTAACTCACCTTTCTCCTGTATGCTTTTATTGCAGAGAATTAATTCAAAAATAAATAGCAGACTTGAACTTTTCGGCTAGACATATTCATAGTGAAAACGCTAATCTGCTAAACGTCGTTAGTTCCACTATTAGTTGATAAGCGGAACAGTGCCCACCACTGGCTTTCAAGATATCAAGATTGTCTTCAAATGGCCAACTTCCTTCAACCTGATGCAAGCCAAGCAATATAAGCACATAACTAGACTATCAAAACTTTTTGCCAACTTCAAGAAAGAAACAAAGAAAGTATGTGTTTATTTTCCGGACGGAATAAAATAAAAAATAAAGATGAATAAGCCGGTGAAACATTTTGCAACAAAAGAAAAACTGCAGAATCTAGAAAATCTGGAAACCAAGAATCAGCAACCACACTTTCAAAGACTAGCTGTAAATAACAAAAAAAAACAAATGCAAACAGCAGGAAGTAGATGGAAAGTCTGATGATCAGTTTTCTTGATACTAGAAATGAAAAATTGCAACAAACCCGAAACCCATGAACATAGTTAGAGGGAAACCACAAAAAACTAAAATGGAAAACTTGCAATTTGCAATGCAAGTCCGCTAGTTAAAAAGCTAAAGGCAGCCTCTTCCCTCATGCTGAATCCTCACGCTGAAAACCCCCTCCCACTCAAAAACTGTTGGTACAAACAGCGCATGGCTCAGATGTATCTCAGTCACTCCCCCCCTTCTAAAAACTGTTTAACTTGATTAAATAAGACAAGGATAGCTATTTTTTCCAAATGCTAAATAATTCAATCACCATAAAATGAGTTTTTAACCAACTAAAAAGGGAAAGATTATTAAAATCCCGTGTTATTCAACATATTGCAAGTTTCTTTCATCTGCTCCCTTCTTTAAGGGTTGCCACTCGCATAAAATAATTGGCAAACTCGCATGAAAGATTTGGCAATTGTTTTACGCCAGATGCCCTTCCTGATGCAATAATGCGAGTTCATCCAAGCAAAACCATAACGGATCAGTCGAGGTCCGGGTTAACAATGACCGCCACCGGTGCTTTTGACAAACAGGGTGCCGATGGAAATTGTGCTGTTAGTTGAAGACCACGAGAAGGGAAATGTGTCAAGAGACAGAGGGAAAAGAAGAAAGTCAAGAATGTAAGACTGAGGGTTGCAACTCTAAATGTGGAGACAATGACAGGAAAAGGTAGAGAGCTGGCAAACATGATGCAGAGAAAGAAGGTAGATGTTTTGTGTCCAAGAGAGCAAGTGAAAGGCCAGCAAGGCTCGCAGCATTGGTGCAGGGTTCAAACTGTTTTACCGTGGTGTAGATAGAAAGAGAAATGAAGCAAGGGTGGTCCTGAAGGAGGAGTTGGCAAAGAATGTAGTAGAGATTAAGAGAGTTTCAGATAGAGTGATGTGACTGAAGGTACCAGGTTTGATACTGAACATAGAACAACATATGGAGTGGTTATGCTCTACAGGTTGGATGTGATGTGGAGGAGAAGGGTACATTTTACAAGGATCTGGATGAAGTGATAGAGTATTCCCAGGGAGGAGAGTGGTGATCGGAACAGACCTGAATGGACATGTTGGTGAAGGAAACAGAGAGGACAAGGAAGTGATGGGCAGGTTTGGTGTCAAGGAAAGAAACCGGGAAGGACAGCTGGTGGTGGATTTTATCAAGAGAATGGAAATGGCTGTAGTCAACACTTTTTTCTAAAAGAGGGAGGAACATAGTGATCTAAAAGAGGAAGGAAGTTTGCAGGTAGACTACATTCTGTGTAGAAGAGGAAAACTGAGAAAGATTGGGGACTGCAGGGTTGTGACAGGGGAAGAGTGGCCAGACAGCATTGGATGATTGTGTGCAGAATGACTGTTGTAGTGAAGAAGAGAAGAATAGTAAAATCAGTGAAGAATATGAAATGGTGGAAGCTGAGAAAAGAAGAATGTTGTGAGAAATTGAGAGAGGAGTTGTTAAGGCTCTGGGTGGTAAGAAATAGCTTCCAAATGACTGGACTACTACAGCAACAGTAATTAGAGAGACAGATAGGAAGGTACTTTGTGTGTCATCTGGACAATGGATGACAAGGAAACCTGGTGGTGGAACAGTGAAGTGCAAAAAGCTATTAAAAGAAAGACGTTAGGCAAGAAGAAATATGACGATGAGAGGACTGAAGAGAGGAGGCAGGAATATAAAAAGAAAGAATGTTTAACAACTGGGAGATAAAGTTAGAGAGGCCAGATTGAGATGGCATGGGCATGTCCAGAGGAGGGACATTGGGTATATTGGCAGAAGAATTTTAGAAATGCAGCTGCCAGGAACAAAGAAGAAGGCCAAGAGCAGATATGTGGATGAAGTTAGAGAGGACATGGTGGTAGTTGGAGTGAGGACAGAGGATGCAGAGGACAGAGAGATGGAGGAGGATGACTCACTGTGGCAACCCCTGAAAAGGGAAAAGCTGAAAGAAGCCCTTCCTGACGCAACATGGGCTCAAACCCACAACCTCAGGATCACAAGACCGTGCCACTGACCACCATGCTACTGCAGTCCTTAACATTTTTCCAACATTTGCATTGTTTAAAACATTTTAACCTTTCTCACTCACCTGTCCCATCTGAATAATGAATTTTAAAAAAGCCCTTTAAAAGCCAGCTTTGATCTCTTTCAGTATTTCACAAAAACCAGACAGAAAGCTCAGCACTATGTGGAAAAAGACAAAGAGGAAGGCCAAAGAGCAGATATATAGATGCAGTTAAAGAGGACATGGAGGTAGTTGAAGTGAGGACAGAGGATGCAGAGGACAGAGAGAGATGGAGGATGACGACTCGCTGTGGCGACCCCTGAAGAGTGAAAAGCCGAAAGAAGAAGCCTTTCTGACACAACCTGGGCTCAAACCCACAACCTCAGGATTACAATAGAATGCCACTGACCACCATGCTACTGCAGCTTTTCACATTATTCCAACATTTGCAATGTTGCAAATATTTTAGCCTTTCTCATACATCTGTTCCATCTGAATGATGAAATTGAAAAAAAAAAGCCCTTCAAAGGCCAGCTTTGATCTCTTTCAGTAATTCACAAAAACTAGACAAAAAGCTCAGCAGCACTATGTTGATATGAGCTTGCACACAGTGAACCAATATCACAGATTCAGCAGCAACAACAGCGTTGTGGATAAGTGTAGTGAACCGCTCACGCAACCCTCATCCCATCACAATTACCCCCTCTTCAAAGACCTACCGGTATTTAGATCTGATTTTGAGGGGTATCAATAGTAGATTAACCTCAAGACCCTCCTCACCCATTCATCCGTGGTTTTTCATACACGCTACTGAAGTGCAGGGAAGATATCCGCCTCATCTTGAGCAGTGAGGTTTGAAAGTAGCTTTGTTTTTTTTACTGTATCACTTTACACATCCAAAGAACAAGACGGATAAGAACATATTTAAGAAAGTATATCTAATCTCAAAAGTGAGTATTTCAACTTGTAAAATCATTAAGTTAAAAATACCATTACCATTAAATGCTGGGTTTTTAGAAACCTACATTCAGACCACACCTCAGTCAGAATGAAGTCAGTCTGGATAAACAGGTAGAATGCCAAAATTCTAAAATACTACTTTTAAACTGCGCTAAAACAACCTTAGGTGAATAGTTCAAATATGTAATAGCCATACAAATGCAAATCTATAATAAAAGATGTGCAAGTTCTGCAATAAACTTTAACCAAATCATTTTTTGTTATATTAACTAAATTAAATGAGAAAATATTGGAAGAGTAGAGAAATTCCAATATCAAAAATCAATGTTTTTCTCCAATGGTGAAACTTCTGAATTCTAAAAAGTAAAGATGAACTTTTTTACTAGTTTTTCTTTAATATATAGAAATATAAAATAATCCTATTAAAAAAAATTCCTTACATTTGGGTGGTCCAAATTTTAAAAAGTCTGAGATCATAACCAATAAGAGACTAGCCTTCTGCTCTCAAATTGAGCACATTACAGTAAGTTTCAAAAGAATGTTTTGGGGATTTTTTAAACTCGGAAATACAAAAATGTAAATCTGTGTACTCTCAAGGTTTTGAAGTACTTTTAACTGTTATTTAAGTATTATAATGACTAAATAGCAACAGAAATGTCAACAACTGACATTTATTTTCTTAAATAAGTTCAGTTAAACCCATTCCCAGACTCGTTTCCAACCCCAGCTACTGAGAGCCCTCTCAACCCCTCGAAATCCTGACGGGAGAGACGGCCTTCTCAGAGTGACGAAGATGGGCCACCTTGTTGGACTCCATGAAGTAGACTGCATCCTTGAGGTTTAAAAACTCCACATAGGCCATATCGTAGCTGTAACCTGGGGACAGCATTTGAAATACAGATGGGTTTTTGTTAGTCAATGCCAGTAATGACAGTAACCTTGTGGAATTAAAAAAAAAAAAAGAACATTCGTAAAAACATTGACATCTGTGCAAGTACTTCTACTGAAACACATACCTTTTAAGGAAAACATTTTCCTTATTGTTTTAGACATCATATCAGTGAGTGATAATGCATCAAAATTCACTGTGAACAAAAGGCTTTAATTGCTAATATTTTCCATATATTCCAGACCATTGGCAGTAAACATGTGAGTGGCGTCCATCACAAAGTTCATGTTTATTTGTGTTCAAAGCATCGCCTGTGATGCTGTTTGGATGCATTTCAGAAAAAAAGATGACCTGTGAGACATATTTTTCCCAAGAAGGCTTGGCGTCATGTAGGCACAATGCCTATAGCAAAGAAAGACTTTCACTTTACAGCAGGTGTTTATAGCAGCCAGATGAACAAAGTGCTTCCGAGGCAGTTTCCATTCTGTATATTAACTATTTTTCGCTAGTGTTTGTAAAGGACAAATTTACTATGTCACCTGTCGTGAGTCTTCTGTAACCAACACTTTAAATATCACTCCAAAAGCTGCACTAAATCCTCTAAATGTTGATATCCACGGCCACTCATTCTCAGACTTTGTAAAATGTGTAGAATACATCCCCACTTTCATTTTCAATGAGCGAGTTCACACACACATCATCACCAACAAAAGCAACCAAGAATGGAAATAAATAAAAAAGGTGGCAGTTCAAATGTCATCATAGCGAAATGTCAAGGGACAAGGTGGCGATTGATTGCCCCAAACACACCCACAAAGAACCTTAATTCTTACCTGGAACGACATCCCGGATTTTAATCCCCTGCATTGGTACACCATCACGGACTGCAAAGGAACTGAGAATCTACAAAAGGCAATATTAATCCATGTCAGTTATAACACAACAATGACCAAAAATCAATATAATCTGTGATAACTAAAATAAAGCAGTTTTTTTTTTTTTTCTTCTTCTTGTGATTACCTGATCCACTGTAGTAGTCTTTGGAATATCAAATATGGATATAATATTTGAAGCTTTGTTCTTCACTGATGCCTTTCTGTAATCTTGATCCTTGCAGAGAATGGCCATAAGAAATAAACCACAGCATAAAGAATACTAAAGTAACTTTGGAAAACTGAAAGATTAAAATAATGCACATACCTGTGAACCAGAATCTGTGAACGCTGAAGGGGTGATTGTTTTAGAATCCTCTAGGAGTTTCTCCGCTGGTTGAAGATCTTCGTGTTTGTAGTCAAACCCCCTTGCAGGCCCTGTTCTGTAATCTATATCCCTATAGTCCTGATCTTTTGCTTCTAATGAGCTGCTACTTAGAAAATTTTGTTCATTTCCAAATTCATTCCTGGAAGGAACTTGACCACGCAAGATATTTGTTGCCTCTTTAATGGACTCACTTGGGCTTTGAATCTCACGTACAGGCTCATTCCTTCCTTGATGATAAGGGGATCTTTCATCATGATTTGGTTTATTATAAATATAATTTGGATCCCTTTTATCAAGCCAATTTTCATTATCTCTATCCAGCTGAACAGTTTGTGCGGGTAAATGGTGTTGTGGACTCTTGCTACCAACTGGTGGTGCATCCATTGCAGAAAAGGGGTCACTAGCATCTTTTCCTTGGAAGCCAACAGGTGGTTTATTCCTGTCATGAAATGGATCTGGGAAAGGAGTCTTGTCCTTACGACGGTTCTTCCACTCTTCAGCAAGGGTCATCTCATCACCACTTCGATAATCCATAACTGGACTACCACCTAAATCTGGATACTGTCTGCTGCTCACACCATCTTCTGAATCCATAAACTCTGACTGCTGAGAACCAACAGCATTATAGGGCATGTCTGATCTTTCCTTGTCCACTGGTGGATCATCACCCCTTCCACATCTTAAAGGAGATCGACTTCTACCTTGAAATTCAACCGCTGGTCCAGGTTGGTTTCTGAAATCCATATCAGAATCAAATCTACTTGGATTGAAAGGTGGCTCTCCTCTTCTATCGAATTCCATCTTTCTTCTTTCATGTGGAAAAAATTCCATATCATTGCGATCAGTATCATGGACACTCACTGGGTTCCTACCGTGCATCTCCCTAAATCCATAATTTGGTTCCATTCGATCCACGGGAAAGCCTCTTCTATCATCAAAATTAGGTCTGTTGAATCGTGGCATGTCATTAAAGGAGTCTATGTCCCTCATGTCAGAAAATCTGTTGTTGGATCCCCATGGAGGCATATCTCTGCCTCCCATGTCTCTTACATCCCTGCCAGGTCCTGGAAAATCAGAGGTATTCATTATTTTTTCTCTAATGGAAAGTTCAACGTGCCTCCTAAATCCGATGTCCGTCTCCTCTACAGGTCTGAAAAAGTCTTGGTTTGGTTCTCTTCCTCGCATATCTCGTGGATCCATATCATGTCCCCTCATGGGTGGCCCATCCATTCTCCTGTCCATAGGGTGTAAACCTTGATGTCTTGGGCCCATATGGCCCATGTTCATCCCATCTCTGCCTCCAAAATCCGGCATTGGATGACTGTGGCCTCCAAACATCCCTCCTCGTTGATTACCACTGAAATGCACATTGACATATTAGTCCAATGGATTGCACACAACAAAACAGTAAAGTAGGATGGAAATGAGTTATCGATTAAAATTACTCTGTTTTGAAATAGCATATTACATTGCTAGCACTGAAACTAGACAGGAACACAAAGTATATATACTGCACAACTATGTCAGCAAGATGATGAACAAACACCTGCTGGCTGTTCACAGAGTGCTGTGTCCAAGCAGCTGCATTTGTTCAATTAGCTTCAATTAGCTCTACAAGCTTAGCTTGTAGAGATCTAGTAGAGTGCTGTATGAATGGGTAAATGAGGCACAGATTGTAGTGTAAAGCGCTTGAGTATATTGAAATAAGATAGAAAGGCGCTATACAAGTACAGTCCATTTACCATATAGTCTGCAATCTAAATCTAAAACAGACCCAAAGATTGTGCAGGTGACAACCAAATAATGGTGCTAAGCTAATAATCATCCAAAATGTTTGGATGGACTAATTGCAACCAAAAATTTGTGCAACAACCGTACCAGGTCAAATTTTAACTAAAAAATAATATATATATATATATATATATATAGGGACTAAGCCTAAAGTAAAAGAAATCAACAACAACCAATGTTGCAAAACACTACATTGTGTTGATACATGTATGCATGAAAATCAGTTAATTCCTTGAGTCGTGTTCCTTATTAAGTGAATAATAATTCATAACTTAGGTTACAGTTAACAACACACAAGCCTCTAAACATTTATGTCTAAGAATTAGACTTAAAATAACAACAACAAAAAAAAAAGGCTTAATACACCTAACCTGCATGACATAATTCCTGTAAAACAAGGATTTCTCAGTTTCATGTAGTTCTTACCAACAGTATCCTTACAACATATTCAAGCTTTTCATTTTTAAATAATCAGAGCTTCAACTTATTAATTTGTCATGTTGGAGTTTGCACTTTAAACTTTTATTTAAGCTTGCTCAAGATGAGCGTCTGCTATGAAGTTAAACTCAAAGCAGTTTGCTCCTCAAATAAATGTTATTAACTTATTTTTAAGATATTTGTGCTGCTGGTTTTTGGCGTATTGTTTTAGTACTACTAGTGCTTGGCATATTTTTAGTTTAACATTTTTTTTTAGTCTTACTACTGTTTTTCTTTACAATTTATATTTGTTGGATGTAACTGAAACCCTGTGTACACAATTTCGTTCAACCACATGTACCACATGTGGTGCGTATGACAAATAAAAAAACTTTGATTTTTGACTTTGAGATATGACTGGTTCTGTTCAGTGACCTGAGAAGACTTCTGTTCTGACTCGGCGCTATATAAATAAACTGAACTGAATTAAATTTAATATTGTGCACTTAGAGCTGGTGCAGGGACAATAACCTTCACATCAATGTGAAGAAGACAAAGGAGATGATCGTGGACTTCAGAAGGAACAAAAACACCTACCCCTGGGGCTGGGTGATATACAGACCCTTTCCTAAAAATTAGAATATCATGGAAAAGTTGTTTAACTTCCATAATTCTATTCA